TGCAGTAAAGGGGGACCTGGGTATATGATGGTCCCTACTCTGGGACCCTGAATCATGATGCAGCACCTAATAAAATTTCACTGAAACGTTTTAAAAAAAGTCACTGCTTATACTAACGTAATCACGGATATATTTAAATACTGTTTATTTCCGTCTCTTTAGCATCTCAAGAAAAAGTCTATGGAATCTACCAAAATAGCTATAGATGTTGGATTCCGCCACATTGATTGTTCTCACTTCTACCAAAATGAAGAAGAGTTGGGACAGGCCATTCGAAGCAAGATTGAAGATGGCACTGTGAAAAGGGAAGATATATTCTACACTTCAAAGGTATTAAAGACACAGTGCATGATTGTGCAAATTAATGAAGGGGATGTATTCACATGATATAGTGTGGTTAAACCTGTTGTTGGTAAATGTATTTATAGGTCAATCTTTTAATTCATGCATGCCCACCTATTGGATTCTGTACTAAACGTGGGAGGTGATGGCTGCCTCAGTATTGCTGCATTTCAGTCTATAAGCTTCGTGCAAATTCCCATTGCTTTTTGAGACTCTTCTAAAAATTCTATGACTTAGCATGAGCTATGTTATCAGAGAAAGCTCTTCTGGGACTACAAGTCCCTTATGTTCTGAATGATTTTCCAAAAATTATAATTATGAATATAAATCACATTGACAGATAAGGCAGAACATTATAAAACTAACCCTCTGGATGTTAAATTAAGAAATATCTAAAGTGTCTAGTACTGTGTCTACAATATGTTAAAATATTTTAAGTTTTTTTGTTAGTTATATAAATTAAAGGGATACTGAACTTTTTCCCATTGAGTTCAGTATATAGGAGAATTAAAATATTAAATTGCCCTCTAAGACTTACAGTACAAATTGATAGTGTATTTATGTATTAAGAAATTTCCTTCCATTTTTTCATATTTGCTAACAACAACCACTAATATAAAAATTTATGTAGATGGACACCACCATAAAATATTCATGATGAAAGCAAATATTTTTCTTGTGGTCAATTTTAAGGTGAAATTTTAAGTTGAAAGTTTCTCAGTACCAGGTGACAGAAAGCAACTGATTATGGCAATTTATTGATCTAGCACAACTCCCATTTTCCGTGTATTTTGTAGCTTTGGTCAACTTCCCATCGTCCGGAGTTGGTCAGACCCAGCTTGGAAAGTTCACTGAGGAAACTTAATCTGGACTACGTTGACCTCTATCTCATTCATTTCCCAGTGTCTCTGAAGGTGGGCACTTCGTAACATCAAACTATCTAACTTCAACTGTCACATGACCTTCATTTTGTGAGTAGATGGAGTTAATGTATAAGATTTTATATAATCTCAATTTATTTAATAAGAGTTATAAAACAACTAGGTGTGGCTGCAGAAAAAGGAAGGAAAGAACTGATTCCTACAAGTTATTCTACAATCATCACTGTGCTATACACACACACACAC